TCTTTGCATTCGCCGCCGTGTTGACAGGCCCCATACGAGGCCGGGTGCGTCCCGTCGTATGAAGGGTGATATTGTGATTGTGTTTGATGAGTTGTGATGGATAAATATTAGAATGTATGAAATTGTATGGTGGTAATGGTTTATTTGATAGTAGGAGCCAGGATAGATATGAAAGAGCTACGTGTGGCTTGATCCCTTAGTAGGGTACGTAGGCAGCCTGAAGTTACTAGGTGCAGCCACATATTAGACCCCACTTAGGTGGTCTTATTGGGATTGGTTTGGACCTCGTTGTTGGTCCCAAAACTTGGTTGAATTGAGGCTTGTCCTGGGGACTAAGTGAGTGAAGGTGCGCGTGAGTAGATTTTGAAGTTGTTATATGCATGTTTGATGCATTAAGTTATTTTAAGAACTTTGTGGGCAGCCTTGCTAGAATCATTTGAAGGCCGGAGGCCATTTATGTAAATTGCATGAGCTTTTATTGTGCATGCTGCCGGTTGGGTTATAAATGTGTTTTATGCAGGTGGAAATTTTGGGGAAATGTTCAATTTATAGGGGAGACTCTGCCGAAATTTCGGCAGGAAGTCTCGTGCCCCTAATCCTCTCTGGTAAACGAGGACATAGATTTAAGGAGTGAACCCGGCATGGGGGTGATGCCGGGGTCTCCGCAGGGTTCGTCTCGGGTTCTGGGAAATTCGGGACGGGTCCTGTCACGGAATGCTCTTAGCCTCGGTAAGAGGACCTGATATGCAAGATAAGAAACGCTCGGTAAGACCTAGAGCATCGGTGTGGTACCAGCCGAAGGCTCTCCAATGTTTAAGTAAGTACGAATTTAGTAAGTAATATGGACAAAGCTATGGCTAGTATGCCGAAAGTTCCAGTTACCTCTATTTTGGGACTAGTGCCCTTTTTTATAAGCCTTGGGAGGTGTGCATGTTGTGTATAATTTCAATGTGGGACTGTTGACATTCACTGTGGATGCTCCACATGTCCAGAGGGTGAGCCTGCCTAATAAGGCGATCGGTAGGCTAGGATGTCTTGGGCTTTCCTGCCGATGCGCTCTCTTGTCCACGTGTCTTGCTCTTATTGACTGTTGATTTTGGTATAAACAATTATTATTATTATTATCATTTTATTTTAATGATTATTATTATAATTCACTTATGGCTTGATAGAAGGGTTTGGTGTAAGTATGGGAATGCTTATTATTATTATTATTATTATTATTATTATTATTATTATTATTATTATTATTAATGCTACTAATATTATTTATATAGGATTATGGTGATTTTGTGTATGATATGGTGTTTTGGATTTATTTATCTTGTCTTATGGGATTTTCATAGATTGTATATTTCCTAAGTATATGAATAGTGTTTTGAATATTAATGAAATCGAGTGGGCTTATTTAAATTTGGTGCTTTTTCTTAATTAAGGTTTTATTTTGGTTTTCAACAAGGAAGTATGGGTATTATTTCTCTAAATATATTTACGTTGGAAGGAAACGATTTGTTTGGAAATTGAAATTTTGCATCAGGATATGTACCTTCCCGAGTTACTGTACTCACACGGGGCGTTGGATTATCCGGCATGTGGGCACATTTGGTTATGTTAATGCTTTATCACACGTGGCATTGGATTATTCGGCGTGTGATAAAGTAGTCCATGTGCGTAGAATATGGTTTGGTCTAGCCACACATAGCGTTGGATTTTCTGGCGTGTATGCTCATTGGGATACCGGTTACTTTATCACACATGGCGTTGGATTTTCTAGCGTGTGATATGTAGGATATGGTTTAGTTGGGCCACACGTGGCGTGAATGTACCGTTGTGTGTGCTCACTTGGATACTGGTTATTTTACCACACGTGGCGTTGGATTATTCTAGCATGTGGTAAAGGATCCAGACATTGTGATCACTGCTACTTTACTACGGGTGGTGTTGGATTCTCCGGCGTGTAGTAAAGTAACGGGGAAAAGGAAAAGGATTATTATACTATATCGGGAAATTGGAGCAATGTTTAAAGAATTCTACTTAGCATATTGTGATTTTATTAGAAGGGAAAAGATGATTCTAAAATTAACTTTTTGATATTATTGGAAATAATTGTATGTTATCTGGTTCGTGACTATTGATTGTAGAACTACGTGTGGCTTGATCACTCAGTAAGGGTACGTAGGTAGCCTGGGGTCTTACTCAGGTGCTGCCGCAAGATCAATTATATTCTTGGACTCCTTTTTGGATTGTTTCCCCGGTACTCAAGTTGGGGTGATACTATCTTATATATATATATATATATATATATATAGATATATAAGATAGTATGAGTTATCATAGCCTATATGTATATAACTATATATACTCATATTTATTTATATATAATTGTATGAGTTGATTATTTTAAAGTCATTTTTACATATTTTGTTTTAGGTTTAATTGCTACAGTGCACTTTGAAACATTGGTCAAATCTCACTTTACCCCCTTAAAGTTAAAGTGACCCACTTTGCCCACTTGACCATGGTTTGATGTTACACAATGCCCTCTACCGTCAATTCCATCCAAAAGTCTGTTAAGTTTGATGATGTGGCAGGGGTGTTTTAGTACTTTTGTGTAACGACTCGGTCCTAAATAAATTGGTAAATATTAATTTATTCAAATAAAAGACCATTTTGCCCCTAGAATATTTTATTAGGTTTAAAGTTGACTTTTTGACCGGGAAGGAATTTGGGAATTTCAACTATATCGTTGCGTAGAGCACAGTGAGATGAGTCCGTAGACACGTAACGGGCTCGAATCGGAGTTGTAACGAAAAAGATACGATCAAAATACCCCTCAGTGGCATAATCGTAATTTTGGCAAAAATGATTAGATAAAAATCTGATTTTCTCTCTCTCTCTCTCTCTCTCTCTGGTGCGCACTCTCTTTCTCTCCTAGATGACAGCTCTCTCTCTCTCTTCCTCTCTCTCCCTCTCTCTTCGAAACTCCTGCGGACAGGACCGGTGCCAAAAGGACCTTCTCAGCCCTGGCGTCACGACCCGGCCCTTCCCCAACATCGGCTGCCGCTTCAGCCTCCACAAAGTCACAATTCGTAAACAAAGCCTCCACAAACTTGGGCCAGCAGCACCTCTATGTACGCCCGCCCTGTTTCTAATGTTCATATACATAATTCAAACACTTAGGCATATATAGCAGGTTTTGAAGCCTAAGGACAAAATTAGAAAGACTGAGGGTGGTTCTTATCTGCTTCCTGTGTGCGATACGTGCCGTAAGTGCTGGTTTTTTCGCTTTCGAAAAGGAAATATGGGAAAAAGGCTGATTTTGAATTCTATTATAGCAGCTCCATACCACAAAATAAAATAAAAATCCCCATTTCTTAGGGTGAATGGTGTCGAAAAAATCTTTTTTCATTGAAAAATATATAAAAAGCAAAGTGCTGTTATTAACTTATTATTAACTTATTGCATTGAAAAATAAGAGTAATAACAGTAATACAACAATCATAGTTAATAATTTTACTCTAATATTCCATACATGTCCCATACAACATTTGCACATTTCTATAGCATAACATGCTTTATTCAAACATTGTATTTTGTTAAAGATTGTTCCTTATGCGACACATTATAGCATCAGTAACGTCCGACCGTTCACTAGGAAACTCTGCAGAACAAGCAACACCAATTTCTAAAATTGAAATCAAGATTTTCTCAAATTTGTGTCCAGACTTCATGTCCCATACCATACTCTGCATTACAACAATGCAAAACACACCAAATTGTAATTTATTATTAAATTCTCAAGAAGGCCTGTTTTTTGTGCTTTAAACTTTTAAAATCAATATGAGAAACTTTATAAGGAATGTTGAAAGAAAGGATTGGTCACCTGGAGGAGCATAGCCAATTGTTCCTTTTACTCCCATGGAGCTCGAATGATTTCCAGAAGTAGTTTTGTGAAGGAATCTTACTAACCCAAAGTCACCTACATGTCCAACCATATCATCATTAAGAAGAACATTGCTAGGTTTCAAGTCGCAGTGAACTATTGGTGTTTGGCAATGGTGGTGGAGATAATCCAACGCCATAGCTACATCAATAGCAATGTTCAGCCTTTGAGAAAAAGTTAAACTCCTTGGTTTCTCATCTGTGTCACCCGTATTTTGAGTCGGGTGCAACCATTCCTCTAAGCTCCCATTAACCATTAACACATAAATTAACGCCTTGAAATCGTCACCACAATGATCATATCCAGAACATGCGGAAAGTGCCTTCACAAGATTACGGTGTCTGATATTTTTCAAGACCTCACACTCAGCAAAGAAACTTTTGGAAGCTGCAGGATGAAGGAGGTTAGTACCTTGATGGCAAATTGTTGTTTCACTGTTCTCAATAACTCCTTTATAAACTGACCCGAAACTGCCCTTACCAATCAAGTTGGCAGGGGAGAATCCCTCACTAGCTTTCAGAAGACTTTGGTAAGACACATTGAGAAATTGGTCTGAATCACTTGAAGTGTGCTCCTTTTTTTTTCTCTCTGTGAGCTACGGAGGGACAAAAAAGTTAGTGCAAAAGTGACTCCAAGTAAACCAAAGAGAATACCAATTTCATGGTTAGGCTCAATCTTCTCTTGTTGGCATGTTGAAGTTTGCATTTTGGCAATCGAAACTCAGGGATGCCGCCGCAACTGTTTCCTTTGACCGATGTGGCAGTGGCATTTCTGAAAACTCCTTTGATTGGTACTATGCCCTCAAAATTGTTATATGATAAATCCAAAGATTCTAAATATTTAAAATCCTCCAAGAACTTTGGGATCCTGACTGAGAAATTGTTGCGATAGAGATTTAAATCTTCAATACCTCTTAGTGAACGTAGAGATGATGGAATTGTCCCTTGGAAGAAGTTTCCTTTCATGTTTCGATGTTCTGTTTTTATACAGCTACCTAGACTTGCCGGAATTTCACCAGATAGCATGTTTTGAGACACATCTAAAAACTCCAAATTTAGTAAACTTCCTACTTCTTTGGGAAGCAAACCGGTCAATTGATTTTGAGACAAGTCCAACTCAGATAATGAAGAGAGGCCAAAGACTCCTTGGGGAATGGTACCGGTGAAATTATTCTCAAGCAGAATTAGGGACACCAAACTGTGACACTCAGATAAAGTTGTAGGGATATGGCCTTGAATGCTATTGGAACAGATAGTAATTTAAAGAGATATTTAGTGATATACCCATTTCTAGCACTAATATTATAAATAAACCCTGCACAATTGAATTTATATAAACAAACCCAAAAAAACCCAAAAAATGACAGTTGACCTTATTGAATTTAATATTGATTATTAAATTACTTTGATGCCCTATTGAGTGTTTTGGGTATTTTTATGAGATTTTGGGGTTGGGCTTGTTTTAAGAAATTGATGGCAGTTTTATTATTTATAAGAAGTTAAAAGCTTTTTTGTCATGTTGTAAATGGGTTTTGGGTGTGTTTCTAAAGTCCATTTTATATGGGGTATTTTTATAATTTGGGCCCTCATATTGGGTATAATGGTGAATCTCCCTTCAAACAATTGACTTCAATTTCCATAAGTGGATGGAATATTCCCTGAGAAGGAGTTAAATGAAGACATGCCACTATCGGCTTACGATCGGCCTGCCCAACACAAATTATAGAAATCAAAGCAAAAGGCCCAAATGAAGCCAACAATTACAAAACAGTCCACTAGCATGGCCCCCAAATAATGTAGGGAACATTCATCAAAAAAGAAAGAAAAACTCTTTTATTTAATCAAGCAGACCTCTCAGATCTTACTTCAGACGGTAATGAAATTCTGGATACAAAGGAAACAGTATTACATATGCTCTATTGGCATATTCTATTTGCTCGAAGTTTGTTTCTTACTCGGCACATTTCAGCCATAGCGTCAGTAATATCCAACCGCTCTCTAGGCAACTCTGCAGAGCAAGCAACACCAATTTCTAAAACTGAAATCCAGCTCTCTTCAATTTCGATGTGAGCCCTTGTGCTATCCTCATTAAGACGATTGTTTGCACTGCTCATCTCCCTGTCCACTTTTTCTTGAACAAGAACCGGATCCACAATTTCTATCACTTGCTCAGGCAGAGCTTCCTTGACAAAGCCATGAAGGTTTGAAGTTCCTTGAAACATGTCGTCGGTGGGGGGTTTTCCTGTAAACATTTCCAACAGGAGGATGCCATAACTGTAGACATCACCTTGTGTCCACACTTCATGTCCCATACCATACTCTGCATTTGCACAATTCAAAACACAATACTCTATTTTATATTTAACCAAGTGCCCACAGCTCTACTTCCATGTTTCAAACTACTAAAAAATATATAGTGTAGAAGAAAAAAAAATTCAAAACTGAAGAAGGGAAGTATTTATTTACCTGGAGGAGTATAACCAATTGTTCCTTTTACACCAATGGAGCTTGATTGATAACCAGAAGAGTTTTCAAACGGCTTGATTAGGAATCTTGCCAATCCGAAGTCCCCTACATGTCCAACCATATCCTCATCGAGAAGAATATTGCTAGGTTTGAGGTCGCAGTGAACTATTGGCGTCTCACAATGATGATGGAGATAATCCAATGCCATCGCAACGTCGATAACAATGTTCAACCTCTCACAAAATGTTAAGCTTCTTGGTCGCTCATTTATCTCACCAATTTTTTGCGTTGGATGCAGCCATTCATCCAAGCTCCCATTAACCATGAACTCATAAATTAAAGCCTTGAAATCATTACCCTGATAATCGGAACCCGAACATGCCGAGAGTACCTTCACAAGATTACGGTGTCTAATATTTTTCAAGGCCTCACACTCAGCAGTGAAACTTTTATAAGCTCCGCGGTGGACCAGGTTGAGTACCTTGATGGCAATTGTTGTTTCAGCTCTCTCAAGCACTCCTTTATAAACAGACCCAAAACTGCCCATACCAATCAAGTTGGCAGAGGAAAATCCATCAGTAGATTTCAGAAGACTTTGGTAAGACACGGTGAGAAATTTTTCTGAATCACTTGAAGTGGGATCCTTTTTCGCCCTCCGTGAGTAACGGAAGTACAAAAAGGCTAGTGTGAAAGTGACTCCAAGAACCGCACAAACTAGAGAGATTATCAATTTCATGGTTGGGCTCAATCCTCTCTTGTTAGAGTGTTGCAGTTTGCATTTTGGCAATTGAAACTCTGGTATGCCCCCGCAAAGTTTACTATTTCCTCTAACTGATGTGGCAGTTGCATTCTTGAAAACTCCTTTGATAGGAACCATGCCCTCAAAATTGTTATCAGATAGATTCAAAAGTTGCAAAACTTTGAAATGCTCTAAGAAATCCGGAATCATGCCTGACAAGTTGTTGCCAGATAGGTCTAATGCTCTAATACCTCTCAGTGAACCGAAAGATGATGGAATTGTGCCTTGGAAAAAGTTTCCTTGCAGGTCTAGAGATTCTATGTTGACGCAACGACCAAAGCTTGCAGGAATTTCACCAGATAACATGTTTTGAGAAACATTTAAATTCTCCAGATTTATCAAATTTCCTATTTCTCTGGGAAGAGAACCAGTCAAACGATTTTGAGATAAATCCAAAACAAGATAAGAGGAGTGAGTAATGATTTGTGGGGGAATGATGCCGCTGAGATTGTTGTCCTGAAGAAATAAGAGTTTTAAATTGCGACAACCAACAAAACTTAAAGGGATATTGGCTTGGAGGTTGTTGCTAAATAAACGTAATTCGCCTAATTGACTTAAATTTCCAAAAGTTGATGGAATATTTCCAGAGAGAGAGTTGGAAGCAATATCTATTTCATACAAGTTCTGAAGCTTTCCTATATCAAGGGGTATGTGACCTGAAAATCGGTTCTCAGACATCCCTACGCTCTTCAAGTTACGCAGATTTCCAATCGCATTTGGGATGCTTCCAGTTATTTTATTTGTACTGACATGGAAAACAAAAAGAGAAGAAGACAAGTTTGCTATGCATTGAGGTAGCATTCCCCCAAAATTGTTTGTATCAATTAGCAGTCGTTGTAAACGGGTAGAATTAGTCAAATCACATAGAAAGCCCAAGTCGCCACCAATTTCCCCACTTCCAAGATTGTTGTAAGAAAGATATAAGGTTTCAAGATGTTTTAAATTTTTCAAAGAAGGGACCTGTCCTACGAAATTGCTTGATTGCAGCTCAAGATAATTTAAATTTGAGGCATTAGATAATGAAACTGGAATTGGTCCACTAAATTGGTTAGCGCCAACATTAAGATGCTCAAGATTTGGGAAGACAATACCTAAGTTTTGAGGAGTGAGGGAGGGATCACACCAGACAAATTATTTGAATCCAAACCAAGTTGTTTAAAATTGGTGAGTCGACCAAAAATATCTGGAATACTACCATAGAAATTATTAGATCCTGCTGAGACCAATTCAAAATACTTCCTGTGAGTTTGTTTAAGTGAACTGAAATTTCTCTTAGCTTTGACAAAGTGCCAAGCTCTGCAGGAAGCCCTCCTTCCAGAAAATTCCCACCAAGAGCAATTCTGGAGAGTCGAGAGCAACGTGATAAGTTAGAGGGAATTTCACCGCTCAGTGAATTGTTCTGCCACAATATATCTTGCAACCTGGACAGGCGACCGATTTCTGGAGGAATTCCGTGGCTCAAGTTATTGTTGTCGAGATTAATTCCTCTCAGAAAACTCATATTCCCAACATGCGGTGATAGAGAGCCTGAAAGTTTCAAGAACTCCAGGTCCAAAACCCTGACCCTCTTGTGACGACGACCACACGTGACACCACGCCAATTGCAAAAATGGTTGGTTTCATTCCATGAAGTCAAGGCTCCAAGAGGATCATTGGTGATACTTGCCTTGATTTCAAGCAAGGCCAGTCGATCTGTCTCATTTCCACTCAGCCTCAAAGCAAGGCATGAGTGAAGAATGAGGACATGCAGAACGCAAAAATATGAGACAAACAGAACTGATATGAGCTTTTCAAACCCCATAATATTTAATTTTCTGAAACTTCGGCTACAAATGGTTGCCTGCTACCTGTTATTATTAAGGAGGTTGATGCATATATAATACAACTATGGGCTCGTTCACACGACCCACGCCATACGTCGAGGCATTTTCAACTAGTCATCAGTGAGAATAAGGCATGATTTGTACTGGCCAGAGAGGATTTTTCAATTATTGTCCGATAGAGATGCCCATGTGTTGGATTGGACCCCATAATTGCATCAGTGTTTTACTTCTCTAGAAAAAATATACTTTTTGAATTCATCTGTTCAATCAAAAAAGAAAGATAATTAGTTTTGTACAAAGTTCTCTCTCTATAAGCAATATTATTTTACAAACCCTAGAGATAATTAACTATGTGGACTCTTGCTTGATGAATGTGTAGCTTGCTCATATTAAAATTTAATGTTTGATATTTGACGTCTTCCTTGGATATGCTCTTAGACGAAAAAAGGTAAGGTTTAGGTTTTGCTTTAGCCAACAACAAATATTGCTTGTATAACAATTGACTTCAATTTTAGGAAGACTTCTTATTGCATGAAACCGGTCTATTTACGTTTGAAATATATAATGGGTTAAGCTCTGCAGTTTGCGTGGAGAAGGCGGTCAGAGAATGGATTTGGAAACTGACTAACAGGTCTTGGTACACATATATCTGGGGTTTGGCTAGACAGCTGGCAAAAGGAGATCACTAGGATATGGTCCCCTTGTTGGCCTGCAGATGTTAATGTTTTGGTTCGCATTTGAATTGGTGGTTCTCTTATAGACTGTTTGAGTTAAGGATTCATTCCCCTTGTATGCAGTATTCTGGATACTGCTTGCCTCTTTCGTTATAATTTAAAAGATCCTCTTTCTTTCTGCGAATCACAATTTGACATATATGCATAAATAATTCAGCAAAATTATACAAAAAGAAAAATTTATGCGCACATATCACACTACTATTGATAGGAATGTAAGAGCTCCTACTTTCATGGTAAGGTGGGAAGTATTTTCCTTATATACTACTCTATAATTTCACAGCTTTGAATTGGTGAAATTCTAGTGGCCCCACTAGTGCTGGAGAATTTGTACAAAATATGTTATTCAAGCGTTAAGGAATGGGTTGTCTCAAAAAACAACAAAAAAAAGTGTTAAGTAATGGAAAGTATATGTCATTGACTTGGAATGGGTCAACTATATTTGTCCCTTGTTGGAGAATACCATACATATGTGGATAGAAAGATAGCTGCAATTGTCAATAATTACTGTACGAGTTCCAACGTACAAAGAAATGTAACAGATATTAAAAGAGAAAGCTAAATTTTTCTTTTGAATGAGACAGGAAAAGAAAATTTTGAAAATTTTGTTGTTGAGATTGTGAGAACGAGGAATCTAAATTCAAAGAAATGTAACAGATATTGGAAATCCAAATTACTAAGGCAAAGTCTTGCAGCATGTACTTTTTCCAACTTAACTCGTACGTTGGAACTCGTACAGTAATTATTGACAATTGCAGCTATCTTTCTATCCATATATGTATGGTATTCTCCAACAAGGGACAAATATAGTTGACCCATTCCAAGTCAATGACATATATGCTGTGATCCAGTGTGGATTTAAATTTACTTTAAATTTAACCAATGCCTCATACATCTGCTCGGTAATCTAAGTGTTGAGAGTTGTTTGACACCAGCTTCACATGATAGTGTTCATTCCAAATATTTATGCAAGTTTATAGATTGATTCTCTCTGTATCAAATAGTTCTTCGAAGAAAAATATGTAGTCTACTTGTAACATCCCAACCCAAAATATAATCATTCGTGAATTAAATTAATTAAATTACATTTGAATTTCCAATTTTGCCCTTGAAAGTAGGGGTAATTTGGTCACTTTTTGATCCGGAACGATTTTGGAGAAGTGAGTGGCACCATTGCGTAGAGCTTGTCAATACGAGCTCATAGACATGCGGCACGCCCTTCCGAGTTGTAACGAAGAAGAAAAAGTCTGAAAACAAAAAGAATGCAAAGGTAATTTTTAAAATTTTATACTGTAGCAAACAGTACCGATACAGTACCGTGCTACAGTAATCGGGCAGTTTTTCTTTTTCTTATTCTTCCTCTCCCTTCGCAAGAAACGGCCCCCCCTGTTACTATTCACCCGCCGGGATTTTGGGCCACCACAGCCACTTCCGGCCACCAAATCCGGCGGGACTGGGTGCCAAAATGTCAAGCTCGACTTCCTCTACCAGCCCCACCCCATCTCAGCCGCTGGTACCACTGTTTTTCACCGGAAAATCGAGAAATCCGATCGGTTTTGACCCACTTTTCTCAACGCTCGTGCGGGGGATTCCGGGAACCAAATCTTTCGAATTTGGTATGTTTTCTCATCTTCTCAATGTGTTATAGCTGCTGGTTGTGATATATAGGGGAAATTTCTGCGTTTTGGGGGTTAAATAAGTGATAAGAGTTTGGCCGGTTTCGGCCTCCGATTCCGGCCACTTCCGTCGATTCTTTGGGGTTTGTCCAAGAACAAAAGTGACTCCAAAATAAGGTGTTACACCTAGGGTAGGAGTCTTGAGATGAAATATTGAGAATTTCCGGCGAAGCGTAATCGCTTTGGACACCCACGCGCTGGCGGCACGTGGGAACTGTAGAAAGAGAGCATTGTGTCCCGATGTGATCTCCTGGTCCTCACAAGCGCGTAGGTACTTTCAGATTCCAATTTGGTTGACGTTTGAACCCCAAACGGATTTTGCCTATTGTGCGTCATCCGGGTTCGATAGGTTTGAACCGTTGGATCATTTCGAATTTAATATATGTTAATCTAGACATTCTTAGGATTGTGTAGTAATTCGCAGATCGAGAATCGGAGCTCCGAATGTTCCGATTTGATAACTTAAATTTTGTGTTTTACAATAACCGTCCGGTCGTGCAATCGCGAGCGATCCAACCGTTCAATCTAGACCAAACTTGCAGGACGTGTATCTTAAACTTTGTGGAACCCATAGAAACTTTCGGATCGGAATTTGGAGGTCGTGGGCCTCGTGGGCCGTTTGACCAAGTTTGGGTAGTTTGACCGTTGGTTGATCGTGAGTCTTTCGAGGTAGTTTCACCCTTCGAAAAGTAAGTAGGATAATCTTGTAAACAAATCTTAATTGTTATTTGAGTTTAAATTTGTTAATTGATTCAATATGGGTTTTTCTTTAAAGGTTGTTGCTTATCATTAATTAATATTATTTGATTATAAATAAAGCATAATGTTCTAATTGTAGGGTACAATATTTTATGGAATTTGTGTGAAAACAAGTGTTGATTTCTATTTAAATTGTTTTAGGATCTTTATGAAATTTATGCTTATGTGCATGATCGTTGGTTTAAAAATAACATTATTTCCATTGATTAAATTACGTTGCATTCTACTATAGACTTGTATCGCTAAATTGTGAATATCTCTATTATTAGTTTGGATATTTGAGAATTATAATTATTCGAAATACGGATTATATATGTTGAGTACCATATTCTTCCCATACGCCAGAAAATTTCCAACGCCACGTATGGGAAGTGTCTCACACGCCGGAATATTCCAACGTCACGTGTGAGACCAAATAATCTTATATTCTTCCCATATGCCGGAAAATTTCCAACGCCATGTATGGGAAGTGTCTCACACGCCGGAATATTCCAACGTCACGTGTGAGACCTAATAATCATATATTCTTCTCATACGCCCAGCAGCCACACCTTGAAGCAACACATAAGGTTCTTAGATACATCAAGCAAATGCCTGGACAGGGAATTCTCTTACCCTTCACAGGTTCATTACAATTACGGGCATTTTGTGATGCTGATTGGGCTTGGTGTGCTGATACAAAAAGGTCGATGACTGGTTATTGCATTATACTCAGCCAAGCACCAATTTCTTGGAAAACGAAGAAGCAAAGCACTGTATCTCGATCAAATGCAGAGGCGGAGTATTGTTCTATGGCTACCACTTGTTGTGCAAATACATGGCTGAAGAACATCTTAAAGGATTTGAGAGTAAATCACACACAACCAGTTATACTCTTCTGTGACAATCAAGTTGCTATGCATATTGCTTCCAATCCAGTATTCCATGAACAAACTAAACATATAGAGATAGATTGTCACCTAGTGCGTGAAAAGATTCAAGAATGGATGATACGAACAACTTTCATACGAACCATGAATCAACCAGCTGATTTGTTCACAAAGCCATTGAGTTCAACATAATTTGGAGTATTGGTCAGCAAGTTGGGTGTCATAAACATACACTCCAACTTGAGGGGGAGTGTTAAAGAAGATCGCACAAAATAAGCAGTCAATATTATAAATTGATTCTTAGTAATTTACTTACTTGTTTTGTATTTGGTTAGTCATAATTGTAGGAAATAGAATAGGAATGTCATGAACAATTCTATTATAAAGCTGTAACTCTTGTTCTGTGAATATACAACAAAATCAATTCTTCCACATTTGGTTTCTCTTGAATGTGTGTTACATGCTATGGAGCATATAGACAGTATGCTTTTATTCACATGTTCTACTCAGCTCAAAGTTTGTTTCGTATCCGACACATCTCTGCCAGAGCATCATGAATGTCCAACCGTTCTCTTGGCAACTCTGCAGAACAAGCAACACCAACTTCTAAAATGGCAATCAAGCTTTCTTGAATATTGATGAAAGCCCTTGTACTATCTCCATTAAGATTATTGTATGTGCTAACGATCCCTTCCCCTCTTTCTTGAACCAGAACAGGATCCACAATCTGTTCAACCTGATGAGGCAAAGCAGTCTTGACAAAATTACGAAGGTTTACACTTCCTTGAAATATCTTTTCTGTTGGTCTTTTTCCCGTAAACAATTCCAACAGTAGGATGCCATAACTATACACATCACCTTGTGTCCAGACTTCATTTCCCATACCATACTCTGCATTTACACAATCTAAAACATCAGATAAATTCTAAGTGCTCAAAACACAATATTCATGTTTCAAACAATTAAGTCAGATGAATCATGAGAGATTTGGGAAATCATTAATTAAATAGTATTCACCTGGAGGAGTGTAACCAATTGTTCCTTTTACTCCAAGGGAACTTGACTGATTACCAGAACAGCTATCAGTTAGTTTCAGGAGGAATCTTACCAACCCAAAGTCACCAACATGTCCAATCATATCATCATTGAGAAGAACATTGCTTGGCTTGAGGTCACAGTGAACTATTGGCGTTTCACATTGATGATGTAGATAATCCAATGCCATAGCGACATCGATAGCAATGTTCAACCTCTGAGAAAAATTTAGACTCCTCGGGCTTTCATTTGTCTCACCAACTGTGGGAGCTGGATGCAACCACTCGTCTAAGCTCCCATTAACCATGTACTCGTAAATTAAGGCCTTGAAGTCATGACCATGATAATCAACACCAGAACAGGCAGAGAGTACCTTCACAAGATTACGGTGTCTAATGTTTTTCAAGGCCTCACACTCAGCTTTGAAACTTTTTGAAGCTCCAGGATGAACAAGGTTGAGTACCTTGACAGCAATTGTTGTTTCACCTTGGTCAAGTGATCCTTTGTACACGGATCCAAAACTGCCCGCACCGATCAAATTGGAAGAGGAGAATCCGTCAGTAGCTTTTAGAAGACTTTGGTAAGATAACCGTATAAATTTTTCTGAACCACTAGAGCTATCATCCTTTATGTCCCTCCTTACACAACAATGGTACAAAAATGTAAATGCAAAAGTTCCTCCAAGAAGAGCACAACCAATAGAGATTATGAATTTCAAGGTTAGGCTTAATCCTCCCTTTTTCGTTTGTTTGAATTTGCATTTTGGCAAATGAAACTCAATTAGGCCCCCGCAAAGATTACTATTTCCTCTAACTGATGTGGCAGTTGCATTTGTAAAAACTCCTTTGGCTGGCACCATGCCCTCAAAATTATTATCCGACAGATTCAAAGATTGGAGAAGTTTAAAGCTCTCCAAGAATTCTGGAATCTTTCCAGACAAGTTGTTGCGAGAAAGGTTTAATTCTTGAATACCTCTTAGAGAAGCCAAAGACAATGGAATTGTTTCTTGGAAGAAGTTTCCTTGCATGTGTAGTTTTTCTACTTTTATGCAGCTACCAAGACCTGATGGAATTTCACCAGAAAACATGTTTTCGGAAATATCTAAATACTCAAGATTTATAAGTTTTCCAACTTCCTGAGGAAAGGGACCGGTGAAACGATTTCGAGATAAATCCAAAAAAATATACGAAGATGATAGACCGATGATTTTTGGGGAAATGATACCGCTGAGATTGTTTCTTGGAACAGACAAGATTTCCAAATTGTGACAGTCTGCTAAACTTAGAGGTATATTTCCTTGAAGGTTATTGTCATCCAAATATAATTTAGTTAATCGACTTAAGTTTCCGAAAGAGGAAGGAATTTCACCAGAAAGAGAGTTTATAGCTAAATCTAATTGATATAAGTTTTGAAGCTTGCCTAGAGCAGGAGGGATTTCACCAGAAAATTGGTTCATAGACAGAAATAGGCTCTCCAAGTTAACTAAATTTCCAATCCCATTTGGGAGTCTTCCTACTAATTTATTGTCACTTACGTAGAACCGTGCAAGAGAAGAAGACAAGTTTGCTGTGCATTCAGGTAAGACACCCCCAAAATTGTTCATATTAACGCCTAGGTGTTTTAAATTGGTGGCTCTAGTCAAATCACAGATAAAGCTCAAATCATTAAGTCCCCCACTTCCTAGATTGTTAGAGGTTAGAGAAAATCTCTCAAGCTTGTGCAAATTTGCCAAAGATGGGACTTTACCATGTAGACTGTTTCCTTGCATTCCTAGATGACCTAGACTTGAGGCATTAGATATTGATACTGGGATAGTTCCACTAAATTGGTTAGAAGCAATATCAAAATACTGGAGACTTGGAGAAAAAATACCTAAGTCTGAGGGAAAAGTACCTTGGATTTCATTTAGTTGCAGAGAAAATCTTATGAGAGAAGACAGATTGAAGATGGAGGGTGGAATCATACCAGACAGCGAATTGTCCGCGAATCGAATCTCTGTTAATTTTGTCAGCTGGCTGAAAATATCTGGAATGCTCCCATTCAAATAATTAGAAGATGCAGAAAGCACCTCAAGAGTTGATAAGTTTCTGAAAGAGTATGGGATACTTCCTCTGAGGTTGTTGTAGCGAATTACAAGTATTCTTAGCTTTGACAAGGTGCCAAGCTCTTCAGGAATTCTTCCTACCAGCGAATTGTGACCGAGATCAATTTGGAGTAGTTGTGAGCAAGCTGACAAGTTGGAGGGAATTTCACCACCAAGTGAATTATTGTTCCATAGTAAATCTTGCAATCTGTGCAGACGGCCGATTTCTGGTGGGATTTCATGGCTGAAGCTGTTGTTTTGGAGATTAAGGACTCTCAGAAAACTCAGATTCCCGACATGTGGTGATATGGATCCTGTAAGGTTCAAGGACTCCAGGTTCAGCCCCGTGATCCTCTGGTGACGACGACCACACGTGACACCCCGCCAATGGCAAAACTGGACGGTTTCGTTCCATGAAGCCATGACTCCAGAAGGGTCATCAGTTATACTATCCTTGATTTGAAGCAAGGCCAGACTATCCGTCTCATCACTTTCAGTACTCAAGGAAAAAGAAAGACATGAGTTAAGAATAACAGCATGCATGCACAAAGATGAGAAAAACACAACTGAGAGAGAGGGAAAGAACTTGTAAATCCCCATCAACTTTTAATTTGGCTAAGCAGTGGTTGCCTTGTTTAGCAGCTTCAGGACAATCCAATTTATAAGCAGAGCCTCTTGGAATTCAATATTGTACAGCCGTGCATATCCACATGCAATCTGATTATATCCACGTTTGAAAATGGGCTCAAGTTGCAAACTTTTAGTCTGTCAAAGTTGACAGCAAGACAGCAATGGGACGCTTGTCTTTGCGTGTGAGCACAGTGTGAATACGATGTCGTTTGGATCGGCCATACAAAAACATTCAATGGTTCTAAGAGGTGCCCATGTCCATGATGTTATGTGTCTGGAGTTTTCTGGGATTAAAAAACGCTTACCGAAACAGAAAAATCCATCAAACCAAGCAACCATCCATAGTATAACGTAAACCAGAGTAGCAAATCTTGGGGCTATACCTACACTTCAACTTTGGACTAATGGGTTTCTTTTTTTTCTTTTTTATTTCTATTTTTAGGAGTTGTACTAACGGGTTGGATTACATTAACTAACTATGCTAAACACACAAGAATCAAATTAGCCAAATTGAAAACATTAGGACTAAATTGGCCAACGGGCTAAAACCCAGACACCATTTTAGCATTTAAGTCATTTCTAAAAAATATGTGAATTCCAATCTAAGAATATTAAATAAAATTCTATAAAATAATTAAACAGTATAGTTATGGTTTTGTTTATCAAACAAATATGAAATTTATTGGGCTTTCCACAAATAGACCCAATTTTTATTGCTTCACATAAGAAAGCAATAAAAATCACATTTAATGCGACAAATAACTAAAAGGCTTAAATGTTAAAATGGCCCTTGTGTTTTACTTCATCAGCCAATTTAATCCCCGCCTTATCAATTTGGCCAATTTAGTTCATGTGTTTGTATATGTTAGCAAATGTAATCTTTTCCGTTAAAATTATGATAAAATTGAAAATATATATATTTAAAATTAATTTTTAAATATTCTAATTAATTTATGAAAAAAAACTGTGATTAATTAGTAAAGTGAAATTTGCCTCCCAAATTACACGCTCAGTCAGACCTCAACCACCTTCCATGAAGCCATGAATCCAAAAGGGTCATCAGTTATTCTAGCCTTGATTTGAAGCAAGGCCAGACTATCCGTCTCATCACTTTCGGTACTCAAGGAAAAAGATGAATAAAGAATAACAGCATGCATGCACAAAGATGAGAAAAACACAACTGACAGTCAAGACTGGTCGAGAAACTTAAACTGGAGCCCTCACATATTTTAATATGAAAATACTAAAAAAGTAATTTTCATGACTTAATGTCATAAAACGATTTTTTTATAACTAAAATTCATCATCAATTATCATGTAATAACAATCACAAATTTTTTTAATGTTTTCATTTCATAAAGTTAAATCTTAGCATGTTTGGTATAAAAAAAAATAAGAATACAAGAGAAAGAAGAAGGCATGTTTATGTTTTGTTTTGTTTTGTTTTGAGTGGAAGAAAGTACTTTTTTTAAGGAGAAAGCGCATGGGTATGATACATATTGGTGTTAGTTTAGTTGGATGTTTCCCTTTGTTTTTTTCAACTTTCTTTTCTAAAACTATTTTGTTACTATAATGAAAAAAGAATAAAATTACGAATTTATTGACATCACTGAGACTCAAACTTGGACCTTGTATCAAAGGATATGCACTAGAAACCAGCTCTATCAAATACATTTTTGTGTTAATGTGCTGCATGCTGGAGTTTATATACAGTTTTTATAATATTAATATATAATATAAAGTAGAAAAATTTGGAGGCCCTTAAAAATTGAGAGCCCTATACAATGGCTTCACTTGCACCATGTCAGAGCCTTGTTTAGCAGCTTGAGGACAATCCAATTTATATCCAAAGCCTCTTGGAATTCAATGCTGTACAGCGATGCATGTTCAGATGTAATCTGATAATATTTAATTTCTATAGTGAATGAAAATAAGTGTTTGTGTCTTAGTATTTGTTTTGCACTTGATTATTCTTTAAAGTACAGTTATTAATAATTAAATAGTGGGATTCAAATGATCAAGTGGTATTGTTTCAAATAAAAAGCTACTTATGTTATGAGTTTTATATAAACCAAACACCCTCACCTATATATAGAATGAAGAGAGTTCTATATATAGAGTTCTTACCCGTAAAAAACAAAGAGTATCCCCCAGGAATGGCCTAGGATTCCAAATTGTGAGGGGCTAAATTATCAAGAGAGGAGGAGCAGCAAGGCCAGTGGCGGCTCCAGGAGTTGAAAGTTGAGTAAGCAAAATTTACATGTTAAACTCGACGGTACGAAAAAATTTCATGTTAAATTCAACGGTATAAGGTAATTTTATGTTATATTAAAATAAACAAAATTTAAATGTTAAATACTATTTTTTGTGTGTGAAGAGGCAACGTCTTTTTTTCAAAGATTGAGCAGGGCTAAAATTTACTTTGGGCTGTAAAAAAATAAAAGTGCCTAGGTGAGGCTGTACTAAGGTTCGTGCTTGGTATCCCCGTACTCTATTGTTAAAAAAAAATTCCGAATTTTGTCTTCAGAGTATAAATACAGAATTGGTTCGTAAAAGTTTTAAATTGAAGTGCTTTAATTTAGGATTATCAATTGTTGAATGTTTAGAAATGGACGTTTATAAAACTGCGAGCACAAAAACCGGGGCAAAATATATCTTTAGGACATTGCAATTCTTGCAAACCTCAATTGCTAAAATTGTCAACATTTCTACACATTTTTGTTTGTTAATTTACATTAATTCCATGTAAATTTGTTATATATTATAATTTTGTTGAGAATTATTATAATTTAAATTCTCATTTCCTATGGTTCTGCCAACAATTATATCCACACATTTAAAAATGAGTAATGCTACACTTACCACATTATTATCCCACATTTCTATACCACATGATGTGGCATGTCCATATCATATGACATATCAATTAAATGAATGAAGTGTATTTTAATAAATAAAATTAGAAAAACAGAAACTAGTATTTTACATGATGTGATATGTACACATCAGCCGCCACATCATGTGGTATAAAATTGTGGTATAAAAAATGTGGTAAGACTAGTATTATTCTTTAAAAATGGGCTCAACTTGTAGTATGTCAAAGTTGACGAGAAATTGTGTGTGAGCACAGCTGTAAAGTCCCATAATATATTAGCACCATTAGCGTGCTTTTCTTTGCGTGTGAGCACAGTGTGATTTCGATGTCATTTGGATCGCCCATACAAAATCATTCAGTTTTCATGATGTCATATGTTTGGAGTTTTTGGGATTAATGGGTTCTTTTTATTTTTAAACGAACGGAACAATGGGCTTGTCAGAAGAATTTGGGACTGTGAGGGAGGATGATCGAGCTGACATGACAGCTTATGCAAATCACAGCTAAGAAGATTAAGCTGATCAGAGAGAGGAAGATTTGCTGGCGTTGACGAATCTCTAAAACATATGCAAATCCAAACTAAGAAGGTTAAATGAAAACTTATTTCACATAAGAAAGCAAAAAAAAATTACATTCAATACAGCAGATAATAAAAAAGATGGTTCTATTCACATATTCTATATGCCCTAAGTTTGTTTCTAATCAGACACATCCCAGTCACAACATCACAAATGTCCAGTCGTTCCCTCGGCAGTTCCGCAGAGCAAGCAACTCCAATTTCTAAAATGGAAATCAAGCTTTCTTCCATTTTGTTGTGAACCCTTAAGCTATCCTCACAAGAAGCATTATTTGTGCTCATCTCCCATTCCTCTTTTTCATGACAAAGAATGGGATCCAGAACCTCTACCACATGATGAGGCAGAGCTGCCTTGACAAAGTTAGGAAGGTTCGAAGTTCCTTGAAACATGATATGGGTTGGTGCTTTACCTGTAAACAGTTCCAATAAGAGGATGCCATAACTGTACGCATCACCTTTTGTCCACACTTCATGTCCCATGCCATACTCTGCATTTGCATTTATCAAACACCGTATTCTTATTTCTACTTTCAAGCTTCAAACTATTAAAATGAATATTCAGAAAAATATAGGGAATTTTTAAAGAAAGTAATCACCTGGAGGAGTATAACCAATTGTTCCTTTTACTCCAACGGAGCTTGATTGATTAGCAGCTCTAGGAAGGAATCTTGCCAATCCAAAGTCGCCTAGATGTCCAATCATATCAGCATTGAGAAGAACGTTGGTTGGCTTGACGTCGCAATGAACTATTGGTGCTTCACATTGATGATGGAGATAATTCAATGCCATAGCAACATCAATAGCAATGTTCAACCTCTGAGAAAAAGTTAAACTCCTTGATCGCTGATTTGCCTCGCCAACTGTGGGAGCTGGATGCAACCATGCGTCTAAGCTCCCATTAACCATGAACTCATAAACTAAGGCCTTGAAGTCAAAACCACGATAATCAGAACCTGAACATGCAGAGAGTACCTTCACAAGATTACGATGTCTAATATTTTTCAAGGCCTCACATTCTGCAAAGAAACTTTTGGAAGCACCAGAACGAACCAGGTTGAGTACCTTGATGGCAACAGTTGTTTCACCATGCTCAAGTAACCCTTTATAGACAGACCCAAAACTGCCTGTACCAAGCAAGTTGGCAGAGGAGAATCCATCAGTAGCCTTCAGAAGACTTCGGTACGACACCTTGAGGAATTTTTCTGAATCACGTGAAGTATGCACCTTTCTTTTTCGCTGAAACCAACAGAGGTACAGAGATGTGAGTGCAAAAGTGATGCCAAGGAGCCCGCCAATGAGAGATATGATGAGTTTCAAGGTTGTGCTCAATCTTCTCTTGTTGGAATGTGGAAGTTTGCATTTTGGCAATTGAAACTCAGGTATACCGCCACAAAGTTGACTATTTCCTTTGACTGATGTCACAGTTGCATTCTTGAAAACTCCTTCGATTGGTACCATGCCCTCAAAATTGTTATAAGATAGATTCAAATACTGCAGAAATTTGAAACCCGCCAAGAATTCTGGAATCGTGCCTGAC